GTGGGAATGTGGGCTACATTGTGGGCTGGTGTATGAGGAAGGGCAGCAAAGGGCCAGCAAAGTGTGGTCCAGAGCACAGGGCTGTGGGAAGTTTTCCTGTCATTCCTGTGCAGAGCCGTGTCCCCAGGCTGCAGGTGGGTGACATAGGGAAATCCGTGGAGAGCTTCTGTCCCATCAGTGGGGGAAGACAGTGCCAAAAGTGCTCCAAGGAGGAGTGGAATTCAGAGGAAAAAAGAGGAGGAGTATGGGGGTTGCAGGAATGTGTAGAGGATGGAGTCAGGGCAGTTGGGGAGGTGCTGGGGGTTGCTCACCCTCTCCTCCATTGACCCATCGCCACCCAAGTGGCACTGACCTGGGCCTTTGTCCTTGGCACGACTCCACGGGCATCCCAATCCCCGCAGCCTTGGGGCTGCAGGCAGCCTGTGAGGAATGGCTAAATTGGGCTACAAACTCACCGCTAGACCCAACAGCTCTTCTTGGGCTGCAGGGTGCAGGAGACTAAGGTGGGGAGAGGTGGGCAAAGATGGAGAAGCTCTTGTAGAAGGAGATGAGCATGGCATTGCTGCAGGCAACTGGCTTGTGTAAGAACATGCTGCGAAGGATAGGCAGGAGGAAGAGAGGTGACTCCTGTGAGTTCCATGTGTGGCAGCTACGAGGAACTCGTAGGGAGCCAAATATGCCACTAGGAGTATTGGGTATGGAGGAATGATGAAGAAAAAACAGAACTCAACATTGCAATGCAAGACAGCTTTTATTACATTTGCAAGGGAGGAGGGAGTTGGGAGAAGACAAAGCCCTGGCCAAGGGCAGGTCACACCTCCTGGCTGTGGGCACGGCGATGGCAAGCAACAGCCGTTCTGCAGGAATGGGCACTCAGTGCGGGTCTCTGTCATCGGGACTCAGGGAGCTTTGAGGGATGATGAGAAGGGCAGACGGAAGGCAACGTTGGGTTCAGAGAAGGCACAAGGCACCGAGGTTCTGGCCCCAAGCAGTGTCAGAAGATGTCCTTCCTTTGGGTGTTATGTCAGGATGTGCCAGGGGCTTTTCCGGATGTCTCCCTCATCTGATGCCTGATGCAGTGTGGGGTTTAGCAGGGCCCGCAGTTGCCACTGAGGTACCTGTGGCCACGGCGCCAGCCGCCATATCCGCAGCTCCCAAGGCCTCCGTAGCCCCCCTAAAGCCCATAGCCCC